TGATAATTTATGTAACTGTATTTATGTGTACCTGTACCTAACTAGACATGCTATTCCCCAGGATGCTACACACACCAGTCGCCTAACACCCAGGCACCTATTTACTGTTAAGTGAACAGATGCAGCAGGAGTAAGTCTATTTAGGCACTGATACACATAAGTACAATTATCATAGTGTAAATTACCTAGGATAACCCCAAAAAAAGTCACACAAAGTAACTTATATCCATTAGTATCCGAAGGTCAAAACACGTTCCGAAGGTCACAACACGTTCCGAAGGTCACAACACGTTCCCTCACTGTTAGCTAACGCCTCTACCAATTGAGATATGAGCAATTTGACTTCCTCAAAAGCCCCACCCTGCCAGGGCTTGTTTCCGGGTCCTCTCGATTGTATGCCGAGGGCACGCTACCTCTCCTTCAGCAACAGAGAAAAAAGGACGAAGAAAATGGAAAACTAGATCCTTTATTGACACCTTTTCGCCCACATAATGGGCTCTATAATATCACAAACAGATCTGTTTGTGACGTTTCGCCCAATTGTGTGGGCGAAACGTAGTCAATAAAGACACATATTGTACTGCATTTCTGTCTCCTTTTCCGTCGTGTCAGAATTATACACATTTATCTCCAAGAAGAAGAAGAAGAAGTGTCAGGCTTCAATTGTCTTATAACTCAGGCAATAAATGTGTGAGACATTAATTCTCTCATAACTTAGGGATCAAATGAGTGTGGCTTCAGTCTTCTAATAAAACAGGAGCCGGTATGAGGATTCAGTCGTCTCATATGTGTGAGGCTTCAATCTTCACATAACTCAGGCAGCAGGTATGTGCGAGGCTTCAATCCTCGCATAACTCAGGCAGCAGGTATGTGTGAGGCTTCAATCCTCACATAACTCAGGCAGCAGGTATGTGTGAGGCTTCAATCCTCACATAACTCAGGCAGCAGGTGTGCGAAGGTTCATTTCTTTCATAACGCAGGCAACAGGTGTGTGAGGCTTCACTCTGACTCTAGTTCCCGCCGCCAGAGCGTCGCCCTCCACAATCACGCAGAGACTTATAAATAACTTACGGAAGACATCGATCATAAGGATTCCTGATGAGAATTAGCGGCGCCTGGAGGTCGGGAAGAGAGCGTGAGTCCAGATGAATCACGGAGGTCGCCTTCGTTCCAGCAAAGACCCCATATAATACATGGTATCCCTGGGTCTCACGTCAGCTAGACGCCTAAAGTAATTGGATCTTAATTCATTTCTACTCAGTTCTCTCTTGCTACTTTTCTCCTCAAGTTCTTGTCACTGGAGAGTGCAGTTTTAGCAAACTGTTACTGAGCTGAAGTGATGTTTTGAAGAACACAAAATTGATCATAATGTTCAAGTAATATCATTCGCTAATCTGCATTTTAAGCACAAAAAAATAATTCTCAGTGTATTTTAACCCGTTATGCTTTAAGCGATTCAGGAAATATGTATTAACGAACGGATTAATTTGCTAAAATGCCTGACTTTTTTTTATGTAAGATAATTATATCGTATAATTTTTCGTGCATTAGGAAAAAAGTACTTCGTCGTCTCCATCACAATTCTTCATACTTTTTTTTTCATATATTTTAGCATATCGTGAGGAGTCACACAGACAAGGAGAATAATATTAGAGCAAGACAAGACCGGGTCTTGTTATTAGAGCTTAGTGGACTGTGAATTGTACATCAATGGGCCCTGACCTCTGCAATTGTGTGGCGTCAGAGAGTCCCAGGACGAAACTGTGGAGTCCGCCAGTCAGCCAGTCCCTGAAGGATACATTTAGTGACTGACCAATTACACTGTTCCTGGGGGAAGGAACCTCTAGTGTGGTAGTACATCCTCCTCCTCTAACAACATCAACATCTTCCACATACATCAGAATCATAAAAGGGAAGAAAATTCCTCCACCAGTAACACACTCCATATCAAAAGGGTAAAAATTCCTCCACGACCATCACACTATTAATAGTGTGGGAATAACTCCACCAACAACACACTCCACATTAATAGTGTGGGAATAACTCCACCAGCAACACACTTTGCAAAATTTGCTTCTCCTCACCACCTTTTATCCTACTTTCTGCTTTACCACTAATTCTTTTAATAATTTTATGAAAAGATTATTTCCATATATTTCTTACTCCCTCTCTCTTGTCCCCCTTTCTACTATGCATGTTTCTTGCCTATCTTTAGATACTTTCAAGTCTTTCTTGCATATTTTAAACAAATGTTCCAAGCACTTCAAAATTATATCCCCACCTGCTTTTAACATCTCAATTTAAGACTCGTCTGTTCACTCCATGATTGTCATTTTTCCACTCCTTCTCAGCTCAGTTATTTCATTTTGTTTATCCATATTTTATGCTTTCCAGATATCATTTTATATTGTAAGAGCTTCTCGTAATAATAATAATAATAATAATAATAATAATAATAATAATAATAATAATAATAACCTATTATTTCTACAAGCACATGTACAAAGTATACAGGCCTAGATGATGTCAATGACATACTACTATATAGAAAGCCGCTTGTTATGCAGAGTATTTCGGGAAAATTAGGTCATTTTTTTTCCTCAGGATGTGACTCAAACCAGTTGACTAACACCCAGGTACCTATTTTACTGATAGGTGAACAGGGACAGTAGGTGTCTTAAGGAAACACGTCCTAGTGTTTCCACTCTTGACCTAGGCTAACTTCTCTCCCATAGCACGCTGTTTATATCAGTTCTCCAAGAATCATTCCTCTTCCCACCAGCATCCCCACCCTCGAATACCCACAAACCTCAGCTGGACACCCTAACACTGTATTCTTAAATCCTTTCTATACCTCTTCGACCTTCTCATTTTCAGTACTCTCTTTCTCTCTGCCCTACCTTATTACCAACTGTTCCTTTTTCTCCCACTAACTGCCTTGTTTAGTCCAGTTATCCTCATTTCTCTCTTACCCCCTCCGCCATTATCTCGTTCTCATTGTTTTAATCTGTCTTTCATTCTTACTCCAGTTACCACTAAAAATGATCTGACATATCAATGGCTCTTGTGCAACCATGCACATCCAAAAGCCTACTCATCAATCTTCTATACACTAATACATAGTCCAGCAAACTTCAGTCAGTCCTCACTTCAGCATATTTCGTAAACTAATTCATTCTTTTTATTTTCAGTAAGCATTACCTCTTCCTAGGCCTTGTTCAGTTAGAGGCCCCAGGTATCATTGATCCCCTGGAACTACAAATATTCTTACTGTCCCTTCTACAACAGTCTCTTCCACATCAGCATCTAAATCACTCACAACAATTCCTCTCGCTTAGTGATTCCCTAAACTTTCGCTTAACACCTTCCAAAACATGTTTTTTCTCTACGCATCTGTAGTCCTCAGGCACATAAACAATTCTATATCACACGTTTCGCTTCAAACTTTCACTCATAAGCACATATTTCATGAATTTAAATTCTCATAACCCATTCTTCCTTCCCGAAGCTGATCATTTAATATCATCGCTACTCATGCTTTCACTTCTTTCCTCTCAATGCACTCCGATATAACCCCATTTTCTCGTCCATGTCGACATTTTTCCAATCAGTGTTGGAATATTCAGCTTAATTTCTATCATAACATTTAAATAATTGAAACATAGGAGACTGAAACTTACGAAAACATTTCGGTCCTATTAATGGTCCAATTCGTACCCAAACGTCGTCGTGAGCGGGTTATTTGCGTATTAGTCTAGGCACGGTATTATGCCTTTTTAATTCTCCTAACTGATACTAATAAAGGGGTAAGTTGCCCCATGCTACCGGCATTTTAGTCGTCTTCTACGACAAACATTGCTTAAGGAAGACGGTTCTCTTCTACTTACCATGAAACCGAAAGGAAACACTACATAGTGGAGCCGTCCTGCTCCACTTCTGGTTAGTGTGACTTTGTAAATGGTCCAAGTCGGACCGAAACGTCGTCGTAAGCTCCTCTCTTCTATGTGCGGGTTATTTGTGTATCGTTCCAGTCACGGTATTGTGCCTTTTCTTGTTATTTAGGCAAGAAGTGTTAATAAATTACAAGGAAATTCAGATGAGTGTGTATAAAAATGCGAGTACATATTAATTCACACAGTGTACACAAATACACACATACACACACACACACACACACACACACACACACACACACACACACACACACACACACACACACACACACACACACACACACTGTATATATTCCATGCATGTATGTTTACATGCATGGAATGTATACTGGTTGTTGGTATTGGTAATAAAATTTACATGTCATTTTGACGTGTTCCTGAGACACACTATTATTAATATATAAGAAGAGAAACACTAAATCCGTATGGGCAAAGCAGTGCTTGGAAAATAGGAGATAGTCATGTTTGATCCGGCTAAGTGGACGGAAGAGCTCATGCCTTAGATCAAGAGCCCTTCGTAAGCATCAAGACTCCAACTTCAGGGAGAGGAAACATAAAGAAAGATATGAGGTACATTTTTAATCTGCAAAATCCTTGAATAAATTGGATTCCGCCAGTCATCCTTCAAGGGACGAAGGGCTCTTGACTCACAAAAATAGAGCTAACTTTCTCTTTCTCGGATCAAGCCTTTTTACTTTCCATTCTCCAGGAGATGCTGTACCCCTATGGGCTTACCCCTTACCCATCGATATAACAATAATTATTGGTAATTTACGAATGATACATTTCATCATTCTCACGAAGACCGTCATTATGCCCACCAGATTATGATCAAAATTTCCAACCCTCATGAACCGCTGGGTCATAAAGTCATTCAACATGAGATTTTTTTTATATAAAATTATTTTTGAAAAGCATTTATTTTCAAAAGAAATTTTAGTAAATGTGTGTGTAGATTTGTGGGGGAAAAAAGCAGTCAGGTTACATTCAATTTTCAAAAGCATAATCACCAGCGTGTCTATAACAGCTCTATTTTTGCATTCACAGGAATTACGCCAACGACACGAGTGGCTTCATATAAGAGATGACTCCAGGAATATCATCATCACCACCAGCATCATCCTCAGAGGAAGCTGAACAAGCTCCTCCTTTCTCCTTGCTTCTTCACTGCCACTCTTCTCCCAGACTCACGCCAGACGAGTGTCTTGTTCACCCAGGTGTTAGGATTGACGTGAACGAGACAGACATACTTTGAACATCACTGCCAACACTTACATTCCTGGTGTATTATCGTCAGTCTCTTGAAAGCCCGAGGATTCCTCTTCAGAGCTCCACTCGTCACTGTACTGGCATCTCAAGAAAATAAAAACATTTGGATTTCTCTCTGAGTTCCGAGAAACTAAGTAAGGATACGAGAGTAACAAGCAGAGAGGATAACACTGTGTCTCCAAGTGTCTCAAGAGATGGTTAAACACGCAAATCAGTCTTGCTCTGCGCTGGTTTGTACAGATTATTCTCACTCACGTAAACAATATGTTTAGAGGTAAAAATGTTTTGCATATGTTATTAAGACAATCCTCTTTCATTCACCATTGCTAAAGAGTACTGGGGATCGAACCGGTTGTCCAGGATTTTATATTTCATAACAATATCGATTATAAAGTAGTAGTGTCGAAGACTTGCTAATACTAAATCCCCCCATCCCCCATCTCTCCTGTCCTCCAGTGTCGTCAGGTCGATTTCCCTTAACTTCTCCTCGTAGGACATGCCCATTAGCTCTGGGACTAGTCTTGTTGCAAACCTTTGCGCGTGTACTCACCTAGTTGAGGTTGCGGGGGTCGAGTCCGAGCTCCTGGCCCCGCCTCTTCACTGATCTTCACTGTGTGTGTATGTGTGTGTGTGTGTGTGTGTGTGGGTGTGGGTGTGCGTGGGTGTGGATGTGCGTGCTACAGCTCCTAGTCCCTCTAGGACTTTTGCCCTAGCTTTTTTAATCCTATCGTACCTGAGCTTGAAACTTCATGCAGAGTCTGCCTTCACCACTTCCTTATCCAGATCACTGTACTTCTTAACCACGCTGAAACTAGAGAAGAATTTTTTATTATCTGTCTGGTGCATTCTCGTTTTTTTGCTTCTATACATATGTTATTTTGCCCCTGGTCAGTTTCTTTATCCATAGTCGCCTCTTCAAAGCCTCTGATTATTTTATAGAAGGTCAACTGGCCACTTCTGATATTTTTGTTTCCAAGGCATTCAAGTTTAGTCCAGTCAGTTTTTCCTTGGAAATAAATCCTGTGAAGTCGGGAGCTATTCTGCTCCCAAACCTCTGTGGTGTTATTAATTCTCTGAATGTGTTTGTCCAGGGAAGGACTAAGTGCTTGCACTAAATACTTTATAAAGTACCCAATGTATGATGTGTCTAGGATGGTAAATAAATCATCTTCCCTAAAAAGGAAGGGCCTAATTATCATAATAAATATCAAGAACACATCACAAAAAAAAAATATGCCTCGCATTACGCAGGAAAAAAACTGTACATCACACTATGATCCATGTTTTTTAATAAACAGAATTCGGTACATCTACAACTATGTGAATAAGATATACTGCATTGTAGCATAGAGCTAAGTTAAGCATTGGTACTAAGTCAAGCATGAGTATTACAGTAACTGTATATCTAACCTTTCCAGAGGCCGTGGCTGATAGTGATGGTGGTGGGTCTTCTTGTTCACCAGACAACGCCAACGTTAACGGACGACTGTCCTGGAGCCATGGGCAACAGACATATACACACCATGTTGTTGAGAGTATGTGGAGACTGCTATAATGTCCTCAGAGATCCTGAAATAGAGGTTGACTGCAGGTGAGTAATCATCTGTCCACACAAGTTATTAACACACGATACACAGATAAGCAGCACTTGAGTGACTGAATCTTATGTGGCATTTCCGTCAAATTCGGACCATTAATAAGTCACAGGCACATGTAGTATTTAATAAGTCACACAGTACATGTGGTACTTAACAAATCACACAGTACAGATGATATTTAACAAGTAACACAGTACAGGCGGTATTTATTGACACAAACTAACCCACGCGGGAGCAAAGCACAATGAAGAATAAGAGTCACTACTGTGACTCTATCTACAGTAAATACAGTTCATAACTACCAACTAATAATCGTGACTTGATAATGCTCCAGGACCAAACGAAACATGGTCTACTGATTTAAACTCATTTTGTTTTGAATAAAATATAAGGACTGATGTGTACTGTATATTTCGGCTCACTCCGAGACCTTCTTCAGTGAAATAGAAAGTCAACTGCAGCACCCATATATACAGTACTCATCTTATATACCATTTAATTATTTTCAAATAAGGTTATTTGTGCTACTTCGTTCATTGTTCTTCTTTAATACAATTCCTGATGTCACTAATTAGTCCTTAAATTAAAACTGCAAAATGTTGCTAATATGAATAGTATTAATGGGAATTGTGAGATTTTAACAATTTAAGGATATTGATATTATTACAATAATGCTGCAGAAGCTGTGCAACAGTTTGTTTGGAATTCCTTATCTCACTTCCTCTCCCAAATCCACATAATTAGGAATTTTCATTCCTGTATTTAATTGTTTTCCTTGTAGAGATGATTTGAGTCTTGAGGATATACTAAATAATTGATTTGTTTGTATTATTTCAAGGAGCGGCTGCTTCACCAGTGACACATTCAAGTCGTGTCTGGAGCTTATTGAACGTGGGGATGAGTTCTTTGATTTCATGAGAAGGGTTGGCATTCTCAACGCTGGAGGCAAGTGATGAGATCCATGCCGTTTGCTACCGTTGTACCGTTGGTCTGAAACTCTTCTCACAAGCATCACACATCCCGTTTCACGGACACCCGTCGGTTGACCATAAATCACTCTGCAACAGACATGTGTTTATGACCGTGCCAATTCTTCTGCACTCACTCTTCATCTAAGCTGTATCTTTGTGAAAGATCCTCTCACAAAGACTTAAATATATAGGAACCAATTGGAAATACCGTAAATAAGAGTTCCAAACTACCCCTCAATTTGGAGAGGAAATGATACAACATTTCTAGGTGAACCTAATAGTAACTATCTCTATAACCACTTCCTAGTAGTTAGAGGAATAGTGCTTATGTTGATAGTATCATTGTTAATCCCAGTTGCTTGAGGATACCTTCTCTTCAGATTTTATCATAACCATCAACTACTTATGAAAAGATTTTTCAAGTATCCTTTTAATACCGCTTCTTACATTCTTTAAATAATTGCTTATTTTTCTCTGTTATTGCCCCAAAAATATCGCAGTCCACTCGCACTTCTATTGTTTCTTTTTAATGCGCAAATCGATAATTATCATATTTACACTTGTATTTATATTTCTTATCCATATCAAATTCATAGTTCATCAACATATTAAAATTACCAACAATAATAATAATGCTTTTCTTTATCAACTTTAATTATTCATTAATTCTCTTCATATTTAAAATGTTTAATTTCCCATCTGTTAAAAGTATTATAAATTAGGATATATATATATATATATATATATATATATATATATATATATATATATATATATATATATATATATATATATATATATATATATATATAATACATATAATAATATATATATATATATATATATATATATATATATATATATATATATATATATATATATACATACATATATATATATAATATATATATATATATATATATATATATATATATATATATATATATATATGAATAAAAATGGATTTTTATTGTATAGTTTAATTTTCATTATAAAGTTATTCAAGTTATATCTTCTTTGTATTTTAATTTTTTTGCCCTTCTCAACAACTTAATGAAATCTGAGGATATATACACCAGGAGGTATATTTCCCTCAGCGTATATATGCTGAGAGTTTACTTTAATAACTATTTTAGGGATTAAAGTATTAATGTCTGGTGGTGAAGTTACGATGGGGCCTTAACGACCCTAGTATAGCCGACTGGATTTCAACCCCATTAACCAACCAGCCATAATAAAATACATCTTAGCTTAGAATGTGCAGACTTTCCTGTTGTCTTGCCCGGTGTGTCTGTGTGTACTCACCTAGTTGTACTCACCTAGTTGAGGTTGCTGGGGTCGAGTCCGAGCTCCTGGCCCCGCCTCTTCCCTGATCGCTACTAGGTCACTCTCCCTGAGCCGTGAGCTTTATCATACCTCTGCTTAAAGCTATGTATGGATCCTGCCTCCACTACATCGCTTCCCAAACTATTCCACTTACTGACTACTCTGTGGCTGTAGAAATACTTCCTAACATCCCTGTGATTCATCTGTGTCTTCAACTTCCAACTGTGTCCCCTTGTTACTGTGTCCAATCTCTGGAACATCCTGTCTCTGTCCACCTTGTCAATTCCTCTCAGTATTTTGTATGTCGTTATCATGTCCCCCCTATCTCTCCTGTCCTCCAGTGTCGTCAGGTTGTGTGTGTGTGTGTATGTGTATGTGTATGTGTGTATGTGTGTGTGTGTGTGTGTGTGTGTGTGTGTGTGTGTGTGTGTGTAAAATTTCACCAGTGGCCTTTTCTGGGAATCTTACACATATGAAGGACATATGCATCATCTCACTAAAAACATCTTTATTTATTTATTTATAATTTCTAAACCTTTCAGTGTCTCATCAGTACTAAAATACGGATGAACAATATACCAAGAACAAAAGCTGGTTATATAAAACATAAAAGTTCTCATTAAATAAAATCTTTATTTATCTTTAAAATTCAGTTAAATTAACAAATTTTCCTAATGCCATCAAAGTAGCTGACTTAGCATATATAAAGCAATATTAAAAGTTAATATGTGAACAACTGCTTAGGTGTGATAGAACTGTTGAGTTCTCATTCTCAGTTCAAGTGAAGATTCCGAGATAATAAGACTGAGTCACTGATGATAAAGTCAGAATAGCGACGTGCCAGTGGTGAGAGGGTGGCTTGTTAAGCAACAGTGGTGAGAGGGTTGCCTGTTAAGCAACAGTGGTGAGAGGGTTGCCTGTTAACCAACAGTGGTGAGAGGGTTGCCTGTTAAGCAACAGTGGTGAGAGGGTTGCCTGTTAAGCAACAGTGGTGAGAGGGTTGCCTGTTAAGCAACAGTGGTGAGAGGGTTGCCTGTTAAGCAACAGTGGTGAGAGGGTGGCTTGTTAAGCAACAGTGGTGAGAGGGTTGCCTGTTATGCAACAGTGGTGAGAGGGTGGCTTGTTAAGCAACAGTGGTGAGAGGGTTGCCTGTTATGCAACAGTGGTGAGCGGGTGGCTTGTTAAGCAACAGTGGTGAGAGGGTGGCTTGTTAAGCAACAGTGGTGAGAGGGTTGCCTGTTATGCAACAGTGTTGAGAGGGTGGCTTGTTAAGCAACAGTGGTGAGAGGGTTGCCTGTTAAGCAACAGTGGTGAGAGGGTGGCTTGTTAAGCAACAGTGGTGAGAGGGTTGCCTGTTAAGCAACACTGGTGAGAGGGTGGCTTGTTAAGCAACAGTGGTGAGAGGGCTGCCTGTTAAGCAACAGTGGTGAGAGGGTTGCCTGTTAAGCAACAGTGGTGAGAGGGTGGCTTGTTAAGCAACAGTGGTGAGAAGGTTGCCTGTTAGCAACAGTGGTGAGAGGGTGGCTTGTTAAGCAACAGTGGTGAGAGGGTTGCCTGTTAAGCAACAGTGGTGAGAGGGTGGCTTGTTAAGCAACAGTGGTGAGAGGGTGGCTTGTTAAGCAACAGTGGTGAGAGGGTTGCCTGTTAAGCAACAGTGGTGAGAGGGTGGCTTGTTAAGCAACAGTGGTGAGAGGGTTGCCTGTTGAGCAACAGTGGTGAGAGAGTGGCTTGTTAAGCAACAGTGGTGAGAGGGTTGCCTGTTAAGCAACAGTGGTGAAAGGGTTGCCTGTTAAGCAACAGTGGTGAGAGGGTTGCCTGTTAAGCAACAGTGGTGAGAGGGTTGCCTGTTAAGCAACAGTGGTGAGAGGGTGGCTTGTTAAGCAACAGTGGTGAGAGGGTGGCTTGTTAAGCAACAGTGGTGAGAGGGTGGCTTGTTAAGCAACAGTGGTGAGAGGGTTGCCTGTTAAGCAACAGTTGTGAGAGGGTTGCCTATTAAGCAACAGTGGTGAGAGGGTTGCCTGTTAAGCAACAGTGGTGAGAGGGTTGCCTGTTAAGCAACAGTGGTGAGAGGGTGGCTTGTTAAGCAACAGTGGTGAGAGGGCTGCCTGTTAAGCAACAGTGGTGAGAGGGTTGCCTGTTAAGCAACAGTGGTGAGAGGGTGGCTTGTTAAGCAACAGTGGTGAGAAGGTTGCCTGTTAGCAACAGTGGTGAGAGGGTGGCTTGTTAAGCAACAGTGGTGAGAGGGTTGCCTGTTAAGCAACAGTGGTGAGAGGGTGGCTTGTTAAGCAACAGTGGTGAGAGGGTGGCTTGTTAAGCAACAGTGGTGAGAGGGTTGCCTGTTAAGCAACAGTGGTGAGAGGGTGGCTTGTTAAGCAACAGTGGTGAGAGGGTTGCCTGTTGAGCAACAGTGGTGAGAGAGTGGCTTGTTAAGCAACAGTGGTGAGAGGGTTGCCTGTTAAGCAACAGTGGTGAAAGGGTTGCCTGTTAAGCAACAGTGGTGAGAGGGTTGCCTGTTAAGCAACAGTGGTGAGAGGGTGGCTTGTTAAGCAACAGTGGTGAGAGGGTGGCTTGTTAAGCAACAGTGGTGAGAGGGTGGCTTGTTAAGCAACAGTGGTGAGAGGGTTGCCTGTTAAGCAACAGTGGTGAGAGGGTTGCCTGTTAAGCAACAGTGGTGAGAGGGTTGCCTGTTAAGCAACAGTGGTGAGAGGGTTGCCTGTTAAGCAACAGTGGTGAGAGGGTGGCTTGTTAAGCAACAGTGGTGAGAGGGTGGCTTGTTAAGCAACAGTGGTGAGAGGGTGGCTTGTTAAGCAACAGTGGTGAGAGGGTTGCCTGTTAAGCAACAGTGGTGAGAGGGTTGCCTGTTAAGCAACAGTGGTGAGAGGGTGGCTTGTTAAGCAACAGTGGTGAGAGGGTTGCCTGTTAAGCAACAGTAGTGAGAGGGTTGCCTGTTAAGCAACAGTGGTGAGAGGGTTGCCTGTTAAGCAACAGTGTTTACTCATCTCAGAATAACTCTTAAACACGGGAAGATGTACCCATATATTCCGAAATACGTTTTGTGAAGTTCCGCGTGGTACTAACCAGGTATCGAGCGCTTCAGTTCGATCTGGAGACGACAGGGTCTTCCGCACCCTGTCAATGTTTTGTTGATTTCTAACTATTAATTAAGAATTTATCTGTGGGAAAGAGTTCCGTAATATAATCCGCAGCTCTTTACGAATATAAAAATTCCAAGTTTCGAAAGTAACGTAGTTTAATGGATTGTGTGCGCTCAGAAATTGTGTGTTTAGCGCTTCTTTTTAATATTAATAATAATAATAATAATAATAATAATAATAATAATAATAATAATAATAATAATAATAATAATAATAATAATCAGAAATTGTGTAGGTCAATATTAGTAAAGCAAATTTGATAGAACACTTGCCCATGTATGACGCTCCGAAAAGTATTCGAACCTTATACTTCTAGTTGTAAGTTGAGCGCTATAGCTCATGAACTACGAGGTGGCTCATGGGTCAAGTTGTAACATCTTCGGGATTCGATCCTGGGATGGGTGTGGATATTAGGCATGTTTTCTTATGCAGTTAGACATGTTTACCGAGGACACTGTTGTTGGTTGCGTCCTAGGGAAAGTAATTCAAGTTGCCCAATTAAAAATAAACCACACTGATTTCGGGTTCCTCTTTACAATTATCAAACAGGTGATTATGCTAATGAAAAAGAAACCACTAATTTAAGTGGGAGTAGAAAATTTTCCACGACATTTTATTGAAAGAAAAACTGAATTGGATTGTTTAGGTAATGGAGTTTAAACCCTTAAACTATCCAAACGTAGATCTATGTTTGGACAGTTTAAGGCTTAAAACTTATCTTCTACACGAGAGTTATGGCTGTGTGGCACCTGTTCACTCCCGTCAAGGTTACTTTAGTCCTTAAAATTGTGACTAAAGTAAACTTTCTGCGTTTATACACTGAGTGACACACACCTCTCGGTGTACATCCATGTGTTGCATGATCACCGATCCTGAAGTTTACCATCGATCTTGAAGTTTACCATATGATCTTGTAGTTTACCATACTAATCATGAAGTTTACCATACGATCTTGACGTTTACCATACGATCTTTTGGTTTATCATGCAATCTTGTGGTTTACCATACGATCGTGAAACTTACCATACGATCTTGAAGTTTACCCATAAAAAATCGAGTAATTACGGAAGACTGTTTACTGAGGTAAACTTCTGGATCTCTCTCTATTTTTCCTGTGTTAGTTATTAAAGTATTATTTTGGTTTCCTGTGTTTATTAAAAAAATCAATAAATACATGATGTCTATTTGAGTTAATGAATACATTTTAAACTAATTAAAAAATGGCATAGTTACTCCAGAGTTAATAACAGGAAAGCTGTTGATATTACTTAATTTTGGTTAACACAATAAATCCGCAGGAATTATAAAGAGCTTCCTTAATGTTGACAAACTCTGGCAGAGTTGCGTCAGATTCCATCAGAAGAGTACTGCTGGCCCTGACAAGGGTACACCATAGTACATGGGAAGAGTACTTTTCGCTTTGATAAGGCTACACCAGAGTACATCACTGGAATACCGTTCACCTTGGCAAGGGTACCAGTGTACATCACAGTTGCGCCGTTGATGTATCCTCGCATCTTTTCATCTAAGTAACTCGCTGGAGATTAATTTCCAGATTCCATTTAGTCAATCACTCATAGCACTTGAAAGCATAGATTCGTTATTGTTTCCCAAGGTGTAACCTTCGAGCATTTAGTGATCTGGTTTATAAATGCTCGTCCAGCATCCTCGAACCCTTATGTTGCTCACAGTTACACTGTATCATGACTGTCAGATCATAGCTCATAAGATTGTTATAAAAAAATGTTATTGTTCTTATTATAATTATTATTATTGTGGTTATGATTATTATTAATATTATTATAATTATTATTAGTAGTATTAGTATTGTTATAATTGTTATTATTATAAATATTATTATTATTGGTAAAGCTCTACACTCTAGTCTAGACTCTACACTAACTGAATGTGCTCCGCAAAACTCTGCGGACATTCCCCTCCACGTTTCACTTACTAACGTTCTCTTCTCTTTTTTTTTTATTATTTCTTTGTTATTATGATATTATATTTAATTATTCTTTGTTATTATTAGGGTATTACATACAATTTCACATCTATTTTTCAACATTGTTGAATTTACAAGCAACGAACTGTTATCTTACCTTAGTTTAATTTACAATCCAGCTCTAGCTAAGGTATGCTCCACCCCAGAGATGTAGCGCCACAGAGATAGTGCCCGAATCATTCATACATATGTTTTGCTCTAAACTTCGAGGATACAGTGGTTAGCTGGGAGATTTTCATGAGTTTCTCTCCTAGTCTTTAGCAGTATTTATTTTCTCAAAAAGTCGGTCGTCCTGTCTCTGGTTCTGAACTGTTATAGTGTGTGTGTCTCTCCCTGCGTGTCTGTCCGCCTGCGTCATAGCTCGCTTCTGGTACGTGATGAGCCTCACACACCGCTACGCAGAGCAAGTCCTGGTTACGTTTAGTTCATAAAACATATGTTATTGGCATTTTAGGAGATGCTTCCCCCAACAGGGACTTCATAATTAATATAGTCCCTGGTGGACAAAACGTCTTGTCAATAAAATGACGTGAACCGCATTTTGTGTCTTACTGACATTCTTGTCAATATATTCTACCATAAACATACAAGACGGCGTTTAGTTCAGTATTAAACGTTATTAAGTAGAAACTTCATAGACAGATTTCACATAATATTTCACTTCATACATATCAACGAATGAAACTTCTTCAGAATGAAAACTGATTCCTGTTCCTTGTGTCTCTTCCCTTTCCACTTAACTCATATGTTTGGTGCATTCAGTGGGGGTTCTTAAAGCTAATAAATGGCTCTTATTCAATGAATGGAATCAGCCCTCTTTGTGTGTGTGTGAGAGAGAGAGAGAGAGAGAGAGAGAGAGAGAGAGAGAGAGAGAGAGAGAGAGAGAGAGGAATAAGGACAATAAGACAGGTGGTGACAATAAGGCAGGAGGAGGTGCATTTCCTTCTTAAATCGCTTGACAAAGAAAATGCTGTGGGCCCAGACACGTTAATCCCAAGATTGCTGAGATGTGCAGACCAGCTAGCAGCACCTCTAACTCGCATCTTTCCCTATTCACAAAAAGAAGAGCAGAGCAGAAATCAGCAACTACAGACCAGTGTCGCTCCTGTCATTCACTGGCAAGATCCTTGAGACAATAATCTCAAGACAAATGACAGAGTTTTTTGACTACCAGTCACTGTTTTGTGATCGTCAATATGGCTTCAGGAAAGGTTACTCTCCAGCTGATCTGTTGTTAAATCTCTCCACTAAATTTCACTAATCACTGGATGAATCCAAATTCAGCTGTATGGTAGCACTGGACATTGCTGGTGCTTTCGACCGAGTGTGGCACCAGAGCCTCTTGGCAAAACTGCAAGCACTGGGAATTGCAGGCTCTACGTTATGTCTCCTCAGTAATTACCTTCATGGTAGATCTCTAAGGGTAGTACTCAATGGAACAGAATCAGCAAGACATCCTATTGGGGTAAGTGTTCCACAAGGAAGTGTGCTGGGACCATTGTTATGGAATGTCTGCTTCAATGACCTTCATCTCATCCCAGAATCCCATGCAAATGCAAAAGACTGTACACTGACACTTACTTATCTAAGAGAAGAAATGCCAGCTGCATAATCTATATCAATCACCAGCTAAGGGCTATATCAGCTTGGGGAAACCGATGGCAAGTGACATTTGCACCAGAGGAAACACAAATAATGATGGTCTCTAGGCACCATGATGGTAATACCGGAGCAGTAGTAAGTATGAATGAGAGAGGTTTGGTACCTGGGGAAGAAGTTGATATCCTTGGGGTGAAATTTGACTCCAAACTAACCATGAAGAACCACGTTGTAAATCTTGCAAACAATGCAGCCAGGAAGCTTACAGCACTTCGACGTATCTCGCATCTGCTTGACAGAAGAGGTTGCAAGATTCTGTATGAGGCACAAGCACGCTCACACCTTGAGTATGCTCCACTTTCTTGGTTTGCCTGCCCTCCCCCCCCACCTCTCATCTGCGACTGTTCCCAACTTGTATGTTTAATAACAATAAAAATGCTTTCAAATGAGCTGATGTCGGTAACAGCTCTTAGCTTGCCAATAAAGTTAGGAATCCATAACTTATAAATAGCTTATGAATGAAGCTAAGGAACCTTAACCTGACCTTGTTAAACCTTGTGTAAAAAAGATCATTAAAACCATCACTACTGAGAATTTCTTTATTAATTTGATTATCAGAAGTCTCTATTAAATATTTAACGTACCACCAGTTAGCACTGCAGTGTAAAGCATATATGTTTTATCTGTTTTAGTGCAACGTTAAATATATCCGTATTTTAACTAACCTAACTAAACTCAGATCTATAAAAATACCTAACTAAAGTCATATCTATAAAAATACTTAAATAAACGCAGATCTTTAAAAAATAAAGATTCACAGGTTAAGTAAACCCAAATAGGTATACACTTAGAATCGCTCTATAAGCAATATTATTAAAATTCAAGAGTTATTTATCTGCTAATTGTTCATCCAAATCCAAAGTGTCTCGAGTATAATATACTCCATACTCTCTCCACGGTATCCAGATCACTTCGCTTTCTAAAGTATACAAAGCAAAAGGCTCCATACAGTATACTTAACAACTGACTCAAAAACAGAAAATTCTTTAGGCTCTCCACAGTATACTAATCATTGGGTTCTCTAAGCTATTTAAATTCATAAATTCCAATATCTAAACAATAATCACAATATGTAATTATCCGTTTTGTTTGTTTTGAAATATAACATTTTTTTCGTACATATATACGTCTACAAATATAATAAATGAATAAATAATTTAATTTATCAGTGAAAACTTTCTATGACAATTTCTGAAGGAAATTACATCAAGTATTCTTGGAAAATTTGTGTTCTTAAAGGTGACTTTTACACAACAATGACGGAGAGTTTTGAGTTTCAAGATTAAATATCCTTTTTTAAGATCAAAATAAATTCCTTCTTAGGTACATACTGGAGTATGTACCTAAGATATGGCCAATACTGGAGTATTGGCCATATCAAAAGGCGGTCTTATATTATGCATTATAAAATCTTGCCTTTATTTTTCACTTTATATTGATCTCAGACTGAAAATAAATTGCCTCCTGGGGATTCAAATTGGCTTGTTCTTGCCAATTCCACACTAACTGTGACACATGAATAGTTATAAACCATATTAACTTGAGCTACCATTTATTACCAGCACGGAATTAGATTATCGTACTTCAAATATCTTGGTCAGACTCGGACCTTGATCAGATTCAAGATGGTCGAGGACAAACCGAAAAGTAGTCTGACTTTGTGTGATAGTTTAGAATAATTCCAACTATGGATATTGTGTTTTTTATTCTTCACTGTATCAAGGCTCAATTAATTTATCAATGAGCTGGAACTGATTTATTTAATGAAGATCAAAACAATACATATTTCCTTGGAAAGTTGTTTCAATAAATGTTTATTTTCATTGGAAAAATAAACATAGATTCAGAAGACTTTTTTCCAATCGTGTCGGTATTATATACTATTTATCTCTACGTATTTTCATCTTCGTTTGTCAATAATTGGCAATGATTTCTCTCACATATGCAGTCAAGGGTCTTAATAGTGTGCGAATCTTCATGCGTTCCGTCCATACTGACTCCAGGGCTTAGCGCTGTCTTCTCTTTGGTTTGTGTTGACTAGAATGATTCTATTTTTTTGGTAATTTTTGTGGGTATTTCTTTAAAAACTTAACTATGATCAGGAATTTAAATAATATAAAAATAACTATAGTGTGGAAATAATTGTAAAAGAATTCTAAACATTAGTAAATAATTGAAGAATTTTCGAGTGACCGTAAACACACACATACACACACACACGCACATACACACACACACACACACACACACACACACACACACACACACACACACACACACACACACACACACACACACACACACACACAAACTGGTTTCAGTACAGTGTTGTCGTGGCTAAGTTTAAATCCTCACGTGGATTTAAAAGACGGTTGTAACTGAACACAAGGGGCAAGGAGCCTACTACACAAGTCAAGTGAAGGTTCAAAGGCGGGCTCAGGAGCTGGAGCTCAACCCCCATCACAGCTTGGTGATTATAGCTAGAGTACACACATACACAAAGCTTTGAGAATAGGTATGATAGTGCCCACGAGGCAAGTAAACAATAAATCCGGTCTTGAACCATACATCTGAATCCATATCCTCACACGCACACACACACACACACACACACACACACACACACACACACACACACACACACACACACACACACACACACATACACACACACACACACACTTTAATAAATATGGCTAAGTGGGAATAGCAAATACAGTAGTACTGATGCACTAATGCGTTCATCAATATTTCCTGGTGCAGAGTGATCATTGATGGTCAACCAGTTGACATCAATGGAACGGAGTTTGTCGCATGTGACTTCAAAAGCATCCTGAATCAATGTATGAGAATGGGGCAGATGGCAGGGAGATTTTCACTTTCGTCCGGCGTTGAGAATGCCAATTAATCTCAAGAAGTCTGGGTACTCTTCCTCACGCTGCAGAGCCGAGAGACAAGACTTGAACATCTTACTGGAGAAGCAGGCCCTCCTGTGAATTACAACCATAAATAATTTATTTCTATCAAGATGGCTTTATGAATTATTATTCTAGTGCCTTGATCTGCGTAATATTAACTATAAATATAGTCACTCTGCTTAGAACGCTTATAATTCTCATATAACTGGATCGATCTTAATTGGGTACCTATGGCACTGGTAAAAAAAAAAAAGAGACAAGCTGCGAAACAAGTTCTTTTTGAAAGAACGTTTCGCTCTGTGTACAGCTTTATCAAGCCAAAGTCTGATAAAGCATTACGTAACGAAAAAAAATATCAATAGATTTCTTGGTAAAGGGTGTCTTTCCTTCACTTTATTGAGGAATGGCTTGTTAAGGAACAGCTGGTGTCCAAACGTAAGTGTGAAGGTAGATCTGACATCGAGTGAGCTTTAAGAAAACACCCATTTTCAGTAAATCCTTCTTCTTTCAGCTGTTGTTTGGAGTATCTTATTGACAATTATTTACAGTAAATAGAGTAAATACATCGTCTTGTTCACCATCAATGAAAAAAATCTGACGAACAAAAAATTAAGTTGTGCTACTGCCCCTTAAGAAAACACCTCTAGTCTGTGAAATGAGATTTCACAATATTGTGAAAGTAACGTAGGAGTAATATAGAATTTTTCATTTGTGTAATTGACGCTTATCTCATGAACACGTGTGATGAGCGTATGAACTCTAAATGCTATCTTGAAGTTCATGTGATGTCGGGTATTCCTGTTAAGTGTAAATTTAGGAACTAGCTTTAGAATCGAACAATATTGACCGATTGAAGCACACTTGCAGTTGTCGTTAAAAGTTTTTAGTGAATCGTGCAACGAGATTACTTACAAAATATTCACTTTCATGGCACTGAAGATAATTTTGCCAAAACATGTTGAGATTATATTGATTGTTGTTATAACACAAAGAACATCAGTCTCCACATTCCGAAAATAAATAATAAATTGAAAAGTAAGTCAAGACGTATAAAAACAAATCTGTTTGCAATTTTGTTAGGTTGGGATATAATGCAGTTAGATTTTTCTTGCAAATTTGAATACCGAATTTTAATTATTTAACAACAGTACAAAAAATAAAATAATCGTAAATCATTATTACTGAACAAGAAAAATATTTGAGAATCTTTGAACTGATTTTAACAGAAATTACTATACATTACACAAACAAATCTATATAATATTTTGCTCACTCAACCTATAAAATAATACATCAATATTCAATATTCAAATATTATATTAAAATATTCTAGAACCTGTTGCTAAATACCCGTAATAACTTGCTGGCTATATACATAACTATACGTGTAACTATACATGAAACTATACATGAAACTACATATGTAAGTAAGGAAAGATAAACAGAAATTTAATGCACAGAACAACTCACATAGATAAAATGAAGAGGAAAATAATGTGAATCCTGTGCATTTCGGTCTCATATTGAGACCCTCTTCAACAAACTGCTGACGAGGACCTCAGTGTGAGGCCGAAATAGGGAGTACTTAATTTCCTGTTTTCATTTTCGCAGAGTGGGTTAATTTGTGCTTTGAAGATCACCTTTACCTGTGCTGACTTCTCTTAATAAGTCTCTCTTAAGAAATCAATACTCACCTACACCCGACAGCTACTTCAGGATGCCTGAAGACGTTATAGCAATCTTCACATACTCTCATCACCATGCTGTGTACGTTTCTGTTACCCACTACTCCGGGACAGTCGTCCTCAATGAAGCGTGCGGTTGACTGCTGTACAACAAGCGCTATCAACACCAGCAGCCACACCCTCTGTTAGGCCAAACACAATCAGTGACAGCTAAGAAGTAACCACTTCGTAAATTAAAACTAAATATATAAGAATTCAAACCAGGGTTAGATAAACAGCATTCTGGTGAGAACAAGACACATTTGTAACACCGAGGTATCTTCAGTGTAGAAAAGTTTCGTCTGCGCATCAGCTTCTTCAGTCGAATACAGGCTAACTAACTCTGGACACAACAAAAATGGTGAGGTAATTTAGAGGTAATTAATCCCTCAGTCATGATAGCTGGGTGTCAGTCCCTTAACAGGAAACCGAGGCATGAGGCTAGAGGCATACATATTAATCATGAGTGTGTTGTACAAGTATATATTACCAGCACCACCTTTCCCATAATACCATAATATATCGTACAGTACTTTTCACGCCTTGTGTCATTAAGTGACAGTCAAGTCCTGACAGAGTTAGGACACACACACACACACATACACATCAGCGACCAGCGAAGAGGCGGGGCCAGGAACTGTGACTTGACTCCTACAACCACAAATAACTGAGTACACAAGCTGGTCATCTCGTTTATCGCACAATCAAGATACCCCGTATTCGATCCCCCAGACAATGGAAGAAGAGTAAGTATCCTTACCTATACACCTTTCCCTCAACAGAGCGAAACGTATTCTCGCCTCAACAAACTGAAGTTACCAAACAAATTCGTTGTAAGACACTGACTGAGAAAAATCGTACGACGTTTCGCCCCAGACTTGCTTTACTTGATAAAGCCAATTTGTGGTCAACTGGCCAATTGGCCACAATATTCAGAATACGTTACTTTCGACGCTTTACCATTTCCCTGGTAAAGGGCTCTTGGGGCAAGGAATTGGAGCTCTCCATCATCTTTATATAATGAAAAAGTGCAAAACCACTTTAATAAAAAATTGAAACACAAGCAAAGCGTTCATAATATATTTCGGTTTTTGCCAAATGCCGATTTATTGTAATCAAAAGTATCTATTCTTAATTATTCTAATCTCAGCTATGCGAAATGATCTTGATCTCAGTTATCTAGACAGCTAAAGTATATCTAATTATCAGCAGATATGCTCGATATAAACCGTAGTATATCTGCTTAATATTTTACCACGTGCTTGAAAGCTAAAAAAAAAAAGCCGACTTGTGTGGAAGAACAAATACATTCATAACAGAACAAGCCTTTTTTTGGACAACGTTTCGATCCCTGGTGAGCGAAATGAAGACTTACTCTGTTGTATGTGTCTTCTCTACCATGTAATCTATTCTACATCCACAAATTCTACACAGTGTAGGTGAGCTCAATGTTTTGCAGTGCCAGAGATTTTAATCACTGTTCCCTTATCACTGAATCCTCTTGCAGTGAGGGAGAAATCTCTGCACTCTCGATGCTTTCACATTTAATTCACTGCTAAAGGACAGATTAGAGAATGGTTCAGTCCTTCACCGAAACGTCATTTAAATTTACATTTAATGAGTGGGTTTGTTGTGAACTGTTCTTACCAAGAATTTATTGCTACTGTTTATTATTCTCTGCTGTTTTTTAGCCTCTGCATCTCTGCTGAAAATTTAGAAAATTAAGTTTATAAAGTAATAACGTTTCCCCCTCAGCGAAACGATTCTATAATAAAGGCTGGTGTTGATTTATCAGACATTTTTATCCAATTATAACTTCGTGATCTCTTTCAGCTAGCTATTAGATAACTTCATGATTGCGAACATGTTATCTGAAGCATTTACGTACAGCCTTCCACCCTAATTGAAAGCATCATAAATCAGCCATAATGTTCTCTTTGGTATTCATCCTTCACGACCTGACTTTAAAGTATTGTCTCCAATCTAGCTTTCCGCTGCCTATCATGCTCTAGTCTTCGTTCTAACACTGAGGTTCGACCCTCGACTGCGTCTCACGCTTCACAGATTTGTATAATAATGTAGCTTAAAAAGAGAATTATACTGACCCGCGCGTAGAAGCATTCAGACTTCTGATTACCCATCTTCTAGTTGTGCTTGCAGACGCGGTGTGATGCTCTTCCACAAGCTTACTCTCTGATACTATCTGGAAACCGAGCGCAGGTTCTAAAGAATAGTTATGTAAATGATGTGTGATGTCAGGATGGAAGGAACACGTGTGTGACGTGTGTCAAGGAAGAGAGAAGCAACAGTTGTGACGTGTATGGTGGAGTGGAAGTAGAAGTCTGCGTTCAGTTGCCAGTTGTACCTCTGAGGAGGCACTGCTGGAATTACCTCCTTTTATAGCGAGCCTCGCTATGTCAGTTGACACTGCGCCACTAAAAGTGACAAGACCCTTCATTACATTTTTTTTCCCTTCAGTATGTGTGTAATTATGCTTTTCAAAAGCGAGTCTCCTATGGCTGGTAGCTTTTTCCATTTGTATATATATATATATATATATATATATATATATATATATATATATATATATATATATATATATATATATATATATATATATATATATATATATATATATATATATATATATATATATATATATATATATATATATATATATATATATATATATATATATATATATATATATATATATATATATTATATATATATATATATCGTGCCGAATATGTAAAACTGGTCAATTAGCAAGAACTCATTTAAAATTAAGTCCTTTCTAAAATTTTCTCTTATACGTTTAAAGATATATTTTTTTCATTATTGTTAATGTAAATTTTTTTAATTTTGCTCCAAAAGAATCTTAGAAAACTTACCTAACCTTATTATAACAAGAACAATTCATTTTAGCCCAACTCAACTAAATATATTTTAGATTTGTTTACAACAATTTAATACTAAACAAACACAGTGAAATATATTTTTTTTCGTTAGGTTCAGAATGATTTTGGCGAAATTATTACATACACAAATTTTCGCTTGTCCTATACGGCAAGATGAGCGTTGCTATTTAAGCCAAGATCGCAAGTTCTGCCTATTCGGCACGACATATATATATATATATATATATATATATATATATATATATATATATATATATATATATATATATATATATATATATATATATATATGTATATATATATATGTATATATATATATATATATATATATATATATATATATATATATATATATATATATATATATATATATATATATATATATATATATATATATACATACAATATTGCGATCAAGCAGGAATCGAACCCGGAACATTTAGCTCTGCTCCTGGGTACCATGCTAGCCACCATACTACAAACAATAAGTACACTAGGTCTGCCTCCTAATGTGAGCACATTCGTGGCCGTGAATATTAAAGGACTATTGCCATTCTTTTCCTGTTTGGTATACCAGTCTCTCGAGCAGAACACATATTAAAGCATCCACAGAACAAAGTGTTTTTTAAACAAATACAATACTGCCACAAGAGATTTCTTCAGTTTAAGGACTGAAGAAATCACTCTTGGCAAAATATATTCTTTAATAAATATCATCTGTACACAGTGTCCTTTTCCACTACCTACCATTCACTTCCCCGTCGGAACGAGGGACTAACGTTATGTTTATGCTTGACTTAAAGCAGTTAGTAGCTGTAGTGTGCGTGTTTGACCAGCCAGTATCCCAGAAACAAGGAAAACATTTAAGTATTTTGCATAAAAAACGAATCGAGTGCGTCGAACCTGGGGGGATGATTCTCCAGGAAGATGCGTCTCCTATACACCAATTGTTAGTACACATAGACCAGTGTGGCAAACGCGACTTCGAATTGAGTTTTTGAAAATAATCGAGCCTTAATAATGAAGGACTGATGATAACATCCATACACCAAGTATCCATTTACCTGTTTAGACAGATGAACTCTAATTTCTAACGAGACAATCTCCACTACGTCATGCCACAGAGGGAAACAACTCGGAAATGTTGTTACATTCCTGCTGTGATAGTTCATCATAACCCCAGTTCACTTTTTAACTGATTTTCTCTGGCCTTCAGACTCATTAGACGCGATTTATTATTATTATTATTATTATTATTATTATTATTATTATTATTATTATTATTATTATTATTATTATTATTATTATTATCATTATTATTATTACATCAGTACACGGATTAGCGGAGGCTCGACCCTCCATCCTCTAATCAATCCACTTTTGGCCAAGACTAAAGTTCCTCAAAGCTAGAAAATAAGAAAATCAAATCAAGTGCGCTTACCTGATATTCAGTGTTGCATATAGACTCAAGACCTGAATGATAAACAAGTCACCATGATTAGAATAAATGAATTAAAACCAAGCAACCACCACTAGCTTCCGTTTCAGCTTTGGAAGTTCAACTCGATTCCCGTCTAATTTTTTACTTGATTGTAACTTGTCGGTTAAGTGTGAGCTAAATGTTTTAATCATTTAATTATTTGTTATTTATATGCTACGTTGTTCCATAGTGTGTTATATATACTCTGGTTTGAGTATGCAGAAAAGTTAATGAAAATTACTCAGTTTTGGGTGCATGTAATATTTTTTTAATAGGTTCAGGAGCAACGTGCGATTAAGTCACTTGAGAAAATCATTTATGGGTATAATTTTTTCTCCTTGGCTCTCAGGTAAGAGAGGAAAGTATAAAGTTTGAGTTGTCTGGTACAAGAGTAGCAATTTACTAGATATACCTATGTACTATTACTAAAATGTTGAATGATATTATTGAACTGACCTGTAATGACATGACTGACGACACGTTAACTCTCATTCCCTCGGACACCTTCAGATATCGTGCCACAACGTTCCCCGTTATGAAGCTTCTGGTAATGCTACACGAGGGCGTTCAACGGGGCACTGACGATAACACTACGTTCAGTAACGACACTTTAGCAATTACAGACAGGTTCTACGGAGTTACGGGTACTACAACAATTACAGGCAGATGCTACGGAAAGTTTACAGAGGTGGTTTGTAACCTGTGTCGAGGTCTTGCATCACACGTCACAATGAGTAGCCCATTCACACGTAGCTATGAGTAACTTGCAGAGACGTAATTGAGTATTATACAGGCTTTGCTGTGAGTGCCTTCTACAGATGCCAATCTTAGTGAAGACGTCGGTTTGGTGAGAGGTTGTTTGACACCTGTCACACAGGTACGAACTTTTATATATATACTAACAACTGACGTCATCAGTAGCGTGATTCAGTGACGACATCATGAGTCACACAGATCACGTACTATTTTATATGCCAGTGTTGCATTCAACTTTTACCCTTTGAAGTTTTCACTCCTTTAAATTTACTTACAATACATTTATGCAGGTTTCTACGCAACTATCGTTATTACGAATGTCATGATACATACACGAGGATACATATACATTTTTATATAATTGTATACTGGAACATAAAAATATTTTCACTCTACAATACACATTCAATCACTCACATAGACATAGAAAGACACAAATATACTCACACACACACACACACACACACACACACACACACACACACACACACACACACACACACACACACACACACACACACACACACACACACACACACACATTAGGACCCCAGGAGAATAAGGAGAGCAAACGTAGAGCCAGAAATGACTATGTACAGGTAAGAAGGGAGGCCCAACCACAATATGAAAATGACATAGCAGCGAAAGCCAAATCTGACCCAAAGCTGTTGTACAGCCACATCAGGAGGAAAACAACAGTCAAGGACCAGGTAATCAGGCTAAGGAAGGAAGGAGGAGAGACCACAAGAAACGACCGCGAAGTATGTGACGAACTCAAAATGAGATTCAAAAAAGTGTTCACAGAGGAGACAGAAGGGACTCCAGAAAGACGGAGACGTGGGGCACACCACGAAGTGTTGGACACAATACATACAACCGGGGAAGATGTGAAGAGGCTTCTGAGTGAGCTAGACACCTCAAAGGCGATGGGGCCGGATAACATCTCTCCATGGGTCTCGAGAGAGGGAGCAGAGGCCCTATGAGTACCTCTAACAACAATACTCAACACATCTATCGAAACAGGGAGATTACCTGAGGTAAGGAAGACAGCAAATGTAGTCTCAATTTTTAAAAAAAGGGGACAGACATGAAGCACTAAACTAAAGACTAGTGTCACTGACGTGTATAGTATGCAAAGTCATGGAGAAGATTATCAGGAGAAGAGTGGTGGAACACCTAGAAAGAAATGAGCTTATCAACAACAGCCAACACGGTTTCAGGGAAGGGAAATCCTGTGTCACAAATCTTCTGGAGTTCTATGACATTGTGAAAGCAGTAAGACAAGAGAGAGAGAGGGGTGTGTAGACTGCATTTTCTTGGACTGTAAGAAGGCGTTTGACACAGTTCGACACAAGAGATTAGTGCAAAAACTGGAGGACCAGGCAGGGATAACAGGGAAGGCACTACAATGGATCAGGGAATACCTGTCAGGAAGGCAGCAACGAGTCATGGTACGTGGCGAGGTGTCAGAGTGGACACCTGTGACGAGTGGGGTTCCACAGAGGTCAGTCCTAGGACCGGTGCTGTTTCAGGTATTTGTGAACAACATGAGGAAAGGAATAGACTCCGAAGTGTCCCTGTTTGCAGATGATGTGAAGTTGATGAGTAGAATTCAATCGGACGAAGACCAGGAAGAACTGCAAAGGGATCTGGACAGGCTGCAGACCTGGTCCAGCAATTGGCTCCTGGAGTTCAACCTCACCAAGTGCAAAGTCATGAAGATTGGGGAAGGGCAAAGAAGACCGCAGACGGAGTACAGTCTAGGGGGACAGAGACTACACACTCACTCAAGGAAAAAGACCTTGGGGTGAGTATAGCACCAGGCACATCTCCTGAGGCGCACATCAACCAAATAACTGCTGCAGCATATGGGCGCCTAGCAAATCTAAGAACAGCATTCCGTCATCTTAATAAGGAATCGTTCAGGACCCTGTACATTGTGTATGTTAGGCCCATATTGGAATATGCGGCACCAGTTTGGAACCCACATCTAGCCAAGCACGTAAAGAAACTAGAGAAAGTGCAAAGGTTTGCAACAAGACTAGTCCCAGAGCTAAGGTGTATGTCCTATGAGGAAAGGTTACGGGAAATCGACCTGACGACACTGGAGGACAGGAGAGATAGGGAGGATATGATAACGACATATAACATACTGAGAGGAATTGACAAGGTGGACAGAGACAGAATGTTCCAGAGATGGGACACAGCAACAAAGGGGACACAGTTAGAAGTTCAAGACACAGATGAATCACAGGGATGTTAGGAAGTATTTCTTCAGCCACAGAGTTGTCAGGAAGTGGAATAGTTTGGGAAGCGATGTAGTGGAGGCAGAATCCATACATAGCTTTAAGCAGAGGTATGATAAAGCTCACGGTTCAGGGAGAGTGACCTAGTAGCGACCAGTGAAGAGGCGGGGGCCAGGAGCTTGGACTCGACCCCTCTAACTAGGTGAGTACACACACACACACACATACGCACGCTACCATACTCTGGGAAAACTTCCTTCATTTCTCCTGTTGCTGCCTTTGCAACATCGCACAGCTTCTGATGACGTACTGAGAAGTGTGAAAGTACTTGAGCTAAATATTTCAACCCCTCGTGGCTTGTCTTGAAATATATATATATATATATATAATATATATATATATATATATATATATATATATATATATATATATATATATATATATATATATATATATATATATATGCACAGAGGCAGGGTGACCTAAAAGAAAAACTTTCGTTTTTCTTTTTATATTAAGTAATGTATATAGGAGAAGGGGTTACTAACCTTTTGCTCCCGGCATTTTAGCTGCCTCTTACGACATGCATGGCTTGTCGGTCTTCAATTCAGGTGATTTTTCCATCCTTAGAAACCGATTCATTAGCTTTATAAATTAGAACAAGGTGTGTTGATGCATGGTTAATTTATCAATATCACCACTGCTACTACCATAAGTGTCCATAAGTACCATAAGTGTCAAGGGCCCAAAACTGTTCATGTGCATCCCAGCATACAAAAGGGGGATTACCAATAGACCCATGGCTGTTTTCAAGAAGGCGCTGGACAGGCACCTAACGTCAGTACCTGACCAGTAGGCTTGTGGTTCGTACGTCGGTTTGCGTGCGGCCAGTAGTAACAGCCTGGTTCATCAGGCCCTGACCCAACACGAGGCCTGGCCACAGACCGGGCAGTGGTGGCGCTGATCCCCGAAACTACCTCCGAGTATACTCCAGGTATTCCACGGTTATCACTGTCACAACCACCACCACCACCTTCATCCACACATTTACCACCGCCACACATTCATTACCACCACTATTACATATCTGCCGATGCTGTTAGCTGAACCACCACTACCACAATCCCCACCACCCTCACACATTTACAGAATTATCTTCATTACTGCTACCAACACACATTCACCACCAATACCACCCTTCCCTCAACCAAACATTCACCATCACTACCATCACTACCATCACTACCACCACTACGACAATCACAACCACCACCAATGCTTCTACCACCTTTACCACCACCAATGCTTCTACCACCTTTACCACCACCATCACAACCACCACTCCCACCCCAACCACATCCACCACCATAACAGATTCATCAACATTAACTTCGCACCACAATTAGAATGATTCAAGAAACTCAACGAGACGGACTCGACACACGACGAATGGCTAGCCAGAAAAAGGCAATTTGGACACCAGTGAAAAGCCCAGTCTACGGAGACTCTTCCCTTCTCTTACATTTCCAGCCAACACTCAGCTTTTACGAGACAAGTCCATCTAATTTCCTCCTTCATGTTCACCATGTGTTAAGAATATGGTGAGTCGTTAATTCCATGAATTCTTGTGTCCCTACCAGACATGAGAATTAAAATCTGGCCTTTACGCGGTTACCGAACGGAGAATCGAGCCTCCGTCACTGCTTGCTCTGAGTGATTCACACTAGAATAACACTTTAAACAACACAAAACTCTCATGGTGCAATGACAAGCGACTCAAGGAGTTAAACATGATGACATTAGAGACCAGAAGGACAAGAGAAGACATGAAAATGACGTACAAAATACACAAATAACTCGTAATCTCCTCTCTCTTAGAGGGGAAATTACGACGACGTTTCGGTTCGACTTGGACCATTTATAGTCACAAATGGTCCAAGTCGGACCGAAATGTCGTCAAAATCTCTCTCCCATGTGCGGGTTATTTGTATATTGTTCCAGTCACTGTATTGTGCCTTTTGTTCTTTAAGTAGAAAATAATGAGAGTATTTGATAGGTTGAGTAGATACAGACTGGTCACGAGGCGGAAAACAGGTGCACAAGGGCACAGCTTGAAGTCAAAAATCTTGATTAATCACAGGGATGCTGTGAAATATTTATTCAGTTGTCAGGAAACGAAACAGCATAAACAGCGAAACAGCAGAGGTAGAATACATATATACCTTTAAGAATAGGTATGAAAAGCAAGAGAGAGCAAACCCAGTACTGACCAGAGGAATGGCGGAACGAAGAGCTGGGACTCAGCCCCAGCAACCAAATATAGGTGAGTACACTTGAATATACATTTTGTATCAGTGTTTTTTAAGCTTTTATTTAGGCGACGGATTTGAAATTTGAGAATAATGTAGACGATTATACTTCAAGCAGGACAGCGGCGATAACGTAAAATAAAATAACATCAACTAAGGTAAGATCCGGGAAAATTTACAGGTATTTTACCAACGGGAGTTTAAATTTTAGAGCTTATCGAGAGCACATGGATAGTTTAGTCTCAAAGTACTTGTACATTCTGTTGTTTAAACCTTCAATAATCCGGTAAAGTTATCATTTCTTAACCATTATAAGGAAGAAATGAGCATCGGGTGTCCCCATCTAGCGGTGACGAGGCAGAGACTCGTCGTAAAGCTTCTCAGTGTGATGTGCACTCATCGATAAAAACTCAGAAGGAAAAAACGTACGAAACACATTTGTGTGTAACCAAGTACCTCGTAGTGTGTTGTGAAATGTGCTACCAGCCTTCACAAGGCTTATTAGACGATGTTTATGTTAATTACAGAAGGAAATGTATCAGATGGAGATAATGTCAGTGGTAAAGTGAGGGAACGGAAAGGGTAGCTGGTAGGAAGGTATAAATGGGTGAGGGAAGTTTGATGGTTGAATGAGCAGGATGGCAAAAGCTGGCATCAGTGCAAACCAGTTGGTGGGTAGCTGACATCCTGTAGTGACAGCCAGTGCTCGTCTCACTGTTGGTGTCCAAAGTGCTGCAGTACATGGTGTCGCTGTTGGTGTAAAAGCTACTGCAATACATGGGCTGTGCTCTCACTACACTGCTGTTAGGTAAGATCTGTTAGGAAACAGGACAGGTGTTGCCTGTCGCGGGTCTTAGTCACATGATAAAATAAGAAAAAAGGAACACTGCAGCAGGCCTACTGGCCCATGCAGGGCAGGTCCATGTCAACCGCCGGCTTAGACCAATGGCCCACCCAATCAGGTCACCTCCACTTAAGGAAGGAGAACGGCATCTGACCCAGTAGCACCAACTAGTCAGGTCCAACTCATACCCACCCACACCCACTCATGTATTTATCTAACCTATTGTGCACTGGCTTCCCAGTGCACCCATTTAAAAACTAAAGTATTTCGGTCGCTGTGTGATCCGAGAGAGGTGTCCCCGAGTTTCCTAAGTTCGGCTTTTTCTACCTCAATACACATAAGGACATAAGAAAGAAGGAACACTGCAACAGGCCTATTGACCCATGCGAAGCAGGTCCATGCCACTCCCCCAAGCCTTGAACAATGACCACCTACTCAAGTCACTTCCACTTAAGGAAGGAGTACGGCACCAGACCTGGTAGTCCAAGCTAGTCAGGTCCAACTCACACTCACTCACACCCACTCATGTATTTATCCAACCTATTTTTAAAACTACACAAGGTCTTAGCTTCTATGACGGTACTCGGGAGTTTGTTCCACTCTTCCACAACTCTATTACCAAACCAGTGCTTTCCTATATCCTCCCTGAACCTGAACTTTTTCGACTTGAAACCACTGTAAAAGGAATAATGCAAGATTGCGATAAAATTCAACCACAAGAAAATACAAGCATATGTATTCATATATATATATATATATATATATATATATATATATATATATATATATATATATATATATATATATATATATATATATATATATTTTTGTGAATGTTTCGTCAATGTATTTTGTCTTTAAATAAAATATACATACATAATATAGGGGGTGGTAGGAGAAAATTCTCAAACAGCTTCAGGGAGAATCTTGAGTTTTCCCTGAAGCAAGTTTATTCTTTTCTCTGAGGATGAGGGTCCCCATGACAGTTCTAGAGGTGGTACCTCCCTATATTATATATATATAATATATATATATATATATATATATATATATATATATATGAAGGATTATATGGTCCAGTACATGCAACATTAATTACCCTCTTGTAGTCGAGCGACTTTAAACCTAATAAACCAACCACTTTATTATATACCAACGCGTTTTATTTCCTTACAGATAGGATATACTACAAGGTACATGTCTCTCTGTATATACATGCTGAGAGTTTTATCCCTATGTTATGGATTAAAGTATTCTTGACTATTGGTGTAACAGATAGATTTCTAACGCCATTAACCAACCATTTTCTTGCGTTCGTCAGCTTATTTTCTTATCTACTGAAGTGCGCTCACAGAGTGCAACCTGATGCCTCCCTTAGTCACACCAACACATTGTAGAGTGAGAATGTACACATCAGTTGAGGCATAAATAATGAAGATTATTAAGTACGATGCTTGTGTAACAAATGGATATATTTACTTCCGGAACATAAGTCATCTTTGTAATTGGTTGAAAAAGCTTGATGTGCAGGCGAAACGTTCCTGCAATGGAGCCAAGTTTTGCACGTGTATCCTGTTCATTAACTTGTCGGTATTAAATACCTTAAATTTATTTATAAATATATAATGTAGCTGTATGCAGCAACTGAGGAACAAACACAAAGTAAATTCAACAAATAGTACAAACGATATATATTATGTAATAATATGTTCGTTAAGAGAGAAACAAATAATATGCTCTAAGAATGTATACATCGACATTAGGAATAACTCGATCAACAGAGACAAACAGTCAGTGACAGTGCACAGCGCATTTAATGAGAAACATCAGTGAGTGACCCCTGTGCACTGGGTCTGTGTTAAATAAGGTAGTATTCTCTTCACCCTGTGTGTCTCCCCCACCCAAAGAATAGTGCAGGTGCCGATGAAGTGTGTGATGTGCTAATGGAGGGTACGTATTAATGGAGGGTAGCACACAGTGTAGGGTGTGTCCTGTGGGTATTTATTGATGGAGTGTATGACACCTTGTAGTGTGTGTCCTGTAGGTATGTATCGATGGAGGACGTTTCTTGATAACCATTTATAATAATTATGCTATAGCTAATTATTCTTCAGATCCCATTAAGAGCAAATCCACCCTTGTTCTTGGAGACAATAATACCAGATATAAGTCTATTGAATGTTGTTAAAAGATACGTCATAATTCACCAAGATTAGTTGCAACCTTCATCTTTCTCAAAATTATTTGTACTGTCAAATTCGCTAACAGATATTCCTGAACTACACATTAGCTAGATGTCTTGTAAGGCTGGTCACCAGTTAACTAAACATTTAATCGAAATTATAAAATTTTGGAAGGTCAGAGAACATTGAGATTACATTTGCTAACTTGGGACAGAGACCTAAATATTTGCAATGCATCACAAAGTCTTAAGAGGCACGTAAATTCCCGTCTTCTTATAACATGTTCATTTTTCCACTATAATCTACCTTGTCCATAATTACTATACATGAATTAAGGAAAGATCCTGGACTTCACCTTACGAAACAGACACAGTAAATGCGGTAGTAATTATGGACAAGGTAGATTATAGTGGAAATGAACATGATATTAGAGCACGGGAACTTACGTGCTCCTTAAAACCTACGGTAACGTCAAAGTATTAAAACTTACAATAACGTCAGTGTTAAAACCAAGGGTAACCTAATAGGAAAGGTTTTACTGAGTTTGCAGTATACCTGGAGTGTACCTGGAGAGGGTTTCGGGGGTCAACGCCCCCGCGGCCCGGTCTGAGACCAGGTAGTTTCTCTTTTCTCCTAACATTTATAAATTGCATATTTATGTATATGTTTTTCCAATGTTTGAGTTATTATCATTATCATAACCAAGACTTCCTCTCAGCTAGGCACCACACTACGGTTATAGTAAATGATACTCAAGAAGGAAGATGCCAAGATGTGGTATTTGGTAATGTTGGCCCATCTTGCCTCCTCCACCACTATGCCCACCACCACTTCAGCTTCCACCGCTGCCTTCCCCGCCCGTGCCTCCTTCAGCGATGCTTCATCGGACATTGGACCCACCAATACTTCGCTCACGTCCACTCCCGTGCCTATGGTGAGTCTAGGGAATGGAAATTATTCATGCTTGCTCCAAGGAAAAGAAAGATTCCTTCAATTCCTTGATAACAGACCCCTTCACCAGCATCAAGGTACCCGTTGATGCAGGGGTCCAGGGAATACCTTCACAATGGGACACAGTGATGCAATACTTATTATACAGGGCTAACACCTCATCTCTTTGAAAATGTATTAGTTTCTAATTAGATCTAAGTCAGTTGGGATTTATCCAGATTCCCAGCAGCTTCTAAAAGTCAACTGGTCAACCACTATTATTATAAATAAAGTAGATCTTTTTCTTCTATTGACTAGCAATAGTGAGACCAGTGGCAGGAACATGATGAATCTTAAATTCATTAGCTCAAGAAAATTGTGTGGGTGTTTATCCAGTAATATTTCCAGATAGAGAGTTTAAGCAGTTGTTAAAATATAAAGACCGATATACGTGCTTTACGGTGTATATTTCCCGAGAGGCATACAGTTTTCAGTGTAAATGCACCAGACGTATGTATCTAATAGTGTTTATACACAGAGACGTATATATCTTTTAATGGATATTCAAGGAAAGGTATATATTTTTCAGTGTATGTACACTGAGAGGTGAAAATTTCTCAGTGTATATACACTGATAGGTGCATATTTTTCAGCGTATATATTTCTCGGTGTATGTCTGCTGTCAGTATATTTCCACTTTCAGGCTAATCCCCTTGTTTACCCACTGAGTGTTTTCTTTAAGCCTAATTTGACTAAATAAAGCGTTCTTGATGTTAATGTACAGGTGATTTGCAGTCTTAATGACCCTTGTGTAGTCAACAACGTAGTTACCAGGCGTTTACCCCCAGCAGCATGTAAAGCCTGAAGGTGTCAGACTGCTCAAGACATTGAAACCTCTCCACTACCAAGTCAGACTTCAGCCTTTCATCAACGGCAACTTCAGCATTCATGGTCATGTTAAGGTGGACTTTTTGGTGCTGACAGCCACTCACTACGTCGTCCTTCATATGGCTGACATAGTCAGCCTCAACCACACCACTAAGGTATAGACAATTTTGTGGGTTACTCCATAATGTGTTTACCAACACTGGCAGTCATAGCTGCTACACGTTATTTGTATGTTAAATTTTCTACTATGGTGTTGATATTACGAAAGTGTTAGTGACACACAAAAACACACACGCACATTACGCATATCTATATTTAAATCAATCTGTCTATATATATATATATATATATATATATATTATATATATATATATATATAAGGGGGTCCACCTCTGGTGTAAATTGCGGGACCCATAGCCTCGGAGAAGTGGATAAAAAGGCTTAAAGGAAGAATATTTGGATTTCTTCCTGAAGCCGTTTGAATATTCCACTTCCCCTACCACCCCATCTTTTCATATTTTTTTTTACCAATAGGAATATTTTATTACATAATATGGTACAAAAGATTTAAGAGATACATTGTTGATATAAAGGTGGCATATACGGTACATGTTGTGTGTATCACCGATTATAAGGCGAAAATCTCATCCAGCTCCTCAGAGCTGGGGCGTGTGCCCAAAATACAGCAAGCATTACCCCTTTGAACAGCCGCACTGAGGCCGCTGGAACAGAAAACTAGCTGCCCTGGGATCCCTAGTTACCCCGATGAGTCTTTTTCCCAGCTCCTTAAGGAATTTAGCTGCATTCTTTCCCTATGAGCCAAGGATCTCTGAGCCTTTGGGAACAAACATATAATGATGGGCAAGTTCTCCATATTTTCTAGACTTTTGGGACTCCCTGAAGCTGGCAGCTGCCCCTCCTTCCTCCCTGTTGTATTGGAGATAGGTATCAGCCAAGGTAGATGCACATGTATAGTCCCACACCACCTGCTTCCCATCTGTCCATGTTTGAAGGGTGATACCATTTGGGTGCTTCTGGATGCCATCATATCTTCATAATTGGGGTGGCTCCCTTACTGATGGGCATCCAGCTGTTGTGAGGCTCCTCTTGATAATGTTATTAACTTCCTCATGTCTTGCAATCTTTTCCTCAAATTTACGGCACACAAGACCATGGTACCCGAATCGGTCTGCTGCTTCACTGCCACAAATACACCTGTGTTCGGCGAGAATAGGGGAGGCAAGTCGAAGGGCAACACCAATGCAGATGGTCTGTGGGTCGAGGCGTGTGCCAAGGCTGGAGTTGGGAACAGCCAACAGAATATCCCCTGCATGAGGGGCTCTCACTGCCAGCAGGCGGGCTCTATCCTTCCCTGACACACTCTGAAGCATTGTTGAGGCTATATTTTCCACTATTGGACCATCCCAGTGCGATTGTAGTTTTTGGGGAGAGCAGGTCTGGTTTCAGAGCCCGTTAGATTATCCCAGATCATGGCTCCGTCAATGAACTTTTGGTCCTGGACTCCAATCTTGTCCCTAAGATATTCAGGGAGAATCGCTGCTACAAGCTCTCTGGATGCAATACATGAGGACAGAAAAGCAGGTAGAGCAATCTGTGATGACTTGCGGACACCAATGCCTCCTATTCTGACCGGAAATGTAGCTTGGTTCCACTGCCCGTCTTCTAGAGTAAGGTTAAGTACTTTCGCAAAAATCTGTCTCAGGATACTGTCATATTCGTGCAGTATAGGGTTATCATATGAAGGTGCACATCTTAGGAAATATGTCAACCTGGGCAAACTCAAGCACTTTGTGAGAAGGTACAAGGCATCGTGGGTGTCCAAAATGCCTATTCGTTGTTCCATTCTCCTTAACTCTTCCAATTTCTTCCTGAGAACTGTGTCTATGGCATTGCTTCCCAGAGGTGCTCCTAGCAAGACACTATTTGTGGGGGCAATGACTGCTGCTCCTGGTAGTTTTGATCTCGCTGCATTTATCACTTGTTGACAGACTGAGATGATTTCACATTTGGATGGATTCAGGATGAGACCCATTTCCTGTCCCCGTGTCATTACCTGTGTAAGATCATGTAGGAGGGACTCCTTTGTACCTGCTAGTGTGCCATCATCTAGGAACCAGATGTTTAGCTCGCTGGTCAGTCTGACTGTGATTTCCCTAACTGTTATACAGAAGAGAAATAGTGCAAGAGGATCTCCTTGTTGGATCATCCACCGTAAAAACACAACGAGAAAAAAATAATTTTTCATCATTGCAAAGATGGATAAAAGTTTTTCAGACAGTAGAATACGTATTTTTTGGGGTTAGTGTTTAAGTTCAGATACGAAGCAGTGGGAGGTGTTGGAGACTCGTATCACCTGGGGGTGTGATGTGTGGGAGGTGTGGGAGGCTAATATTGTATGAAGTAGTGGGGTGTGGGAGACATAGGTGAGACAAGGTTCCGATAACATGGCCAGGAAAACTGAGTGTCAAGCAATTGGTACGTCCTCTCACCCGCATTATGCCTCCCCTCACTCATTATCTCTTTACCCTCACCCTCATCTCCAACCATCACACCATCACCAACTCTCCCCCCTCCTCATCCGTAAACACTCCTCACCAGAATTGCTGACACATAACCATTGTACTTCTCTTTCTCTCTTATCAACAAACCGGCCGTATCCCATCAAGGTAGGGTGGCCCAAAAAGAAAAACGTAAGTTTCTATTTTTAAATTTAGTAATTTACACGGGAGAAGGGGTTACTAGCCCCTTGTTCCCGGCATTTTAGTCGCTTCTTACAACACGCATGGCTTACGGAGGAAGAATTCTGTTCCACTTCCGACTTGTTTGTATATTATATATTATATAATATAT